CTCCTTCGCTTCAGCAATAGAATTCGCCGATATCTTTACACGAGCGAAAGAGAGAAGGAATAAGTTTCTCGCGCACACATAAGCTAGTAGAAACTGGCTTTTCCTTTGAGGTTCTCTCGGTTTCGCTAAACGAAAAAAATTTACCGCGAGTCCCTCTCGTCTCGTTGAAATTTATTTCAACTCGCCTCCCGCGAAGCTCTCATCCATCTTTCCGGTCCGTAAAGTAGAACTCGAGGTACGTTCCAAGGGTCGTACCGACCGACGGACGTAAACTCGTGTGAGCACGCAAGATCACGCGTAACGAATTTATGGCCACTGACAAACGGAAGACATTCACATAACGGTAGTGATGGTCCTTGAACCAATACCGGCAATAGTATACTAGAAGCCAAAGAAATATGCGCGGAAAATATAGACGGATTTGTGAAGAGAAGAGAGAGACTGAACAATTTAAATCTCTTATGTACGTCTTATGTACGTCTTATGTATTGTATATGTATGTATGGTAAAAGGAAGAGATATGTACATCGAATGAATTTCAACCACTCGATGTCTTATTTAAACTATAACTTGAATATATAAGTGCTGATAAGTCTAGGAATAATATAAAACAGTGTTTTCAAAGCAAACAATTTTCAATACATATTTATATCTAAAGAAACAATAAATTCTATCAATCTTTGATTTGCATCTTTTAAATAGCTACATTTCACAGATTAAGAGTTAATTAAACTTGAAAAATTCTTTAAAAAATAAAACTAATAATCAAGAAGTAGGTCTTAAGAATTTACATGATTCTTTAACGTCACAAAAAGATATGTTACGGATTAAAAAATACATCACGCGTGGGTATTATATATTCAGGATTCAATAATCAGGATCAATTTTACTAATAATTTAAATAAATTTAAATAATTTTCAAATAATTTCATATATGAACATATAAAATTATTATACATATAATATAAAATAAGATTATAATTTAAAATATTGTAGAGATGATACTGTAAAATTATGGAAATGAACTTCCATTTGAAATGTAATTTTGCAACATTTCACTCGATGTACGGAAAAAGAACAAAGTATCAAAATTCAATAAATTCAAGTATTAATTTAATATCTTCTAAAACACAACATCAAAATGATGACGAAAATTGTGCAAGACATTATGATTTTGTCGGTAATATTACTCCAAAATAAACCATCACGCGCACAAAAATCCCTACAAGTCCGCGGTATCAGCATGACGGTTTTTATTATCATGTTGACGTCATCTTTAAAAGAAGCTATTTCTCGCTCTTCAGACTGTTATATCATAATCGGATATTCGTGCGAGTGCTATGACTGTATGATATAACGGTGTCGGTTCACAATGAATGTTACGGTGCATAGATGATCAGATGTTCGATGACTGATTACAGACGATTATTGTTGGCATTCTTTAACGACAGCTCATCATTAGACTTTCTTTGGAGGATGATATCCTTCAAGAGTTCAAAGTCTTGATAACTTTGTCTCACCAATAACGTCACTGCTGCTATTGACAAGTTTACTGGCAATTTTCAAGACTTCCTTAATATAAATTTAATAAAGCGCATATTTCGGTGGAATATCATACATAACAGATAAACTGTTGAATATTTCGCTTGTGCTGTAATCGATTGCTGGATATATCGTGAGAGAAAATAACTCTGATATATAATTAATTTATAAAGGATATAAATCTAATGTTATGTGAAATGCACGCGAATCAAAGAAATTCGTAAAAATCTTTCGTAAAAATTTTTAATCTTTCCCCTTATTCTTATCTCAATACCTTTTCCATTTCTTGTTCTACTATTCCTTATTCTTTTATCTTACTCTAGGATTTACAGATTTAATCATTTAAAAGTTTTCGGCCAATATATACTTTTACAATAATTTTTATAAATCTGGTTTTCGATTTTATTGTAAATTAATAAAATTCTTGTTATAATAAACTTAAAATTATATTTTAAATATCAAAATATATTTTAAGATATAAAAAATTAATATATTATATCTTTATAAAAATTGTTTATGTGGTACAGCAATAAAATAATTGACTGGAAACTTTTGGCAGACACTGTAGGTGTATCTTTTGGCTAATCGGAAAGATACATATATATCTCGTAAATGACGTAAAAAAATTAATTATAAAAACTGTGCTAAAATCTTTCTTTTTCCGATTACTATTATTACTTCAAGGTTCTCACATATTCAATACTGTGTTTTACATCACAAAGTGGCATTATAGAATTGAAAAGAAAAAGAAATAATGTTATATGCGGACATAGAAATTGTGCTATAAAAAGTGACAACTTATCCAGTATACGAGGCTGCCGCCTCTTCAGCCGTCGCTTCGTGACATCGACAGAATATAAATGATAGGAATATTCCGTGCGATCAAGTTGTTTCAAATTTACCGACGATTTCTGTACTGAGCAGGATATTGTACCACACCCTCTCTGGCTTTATAGTTCAACTGCATGTCCACGTGATCTTGCGAATTCGTAGCCGGCTGTTACTCGGCTCTTAATCTAAAACCTAACGATACAGCGAGGTCCATAAAACGGCTAGGATAAATCTGCAGTAGCACAGCTGCTGTATGGGACCATTAAATCTTAACAGCAGACGGTGTAATCGGCGGTTTCTGGAATAGAGGGGAGATGGAAGAGAAGTGAATCGCTTGTGCCACCTGTAGCAAGTGTAAGTTGAAATCAATCACCTGCCACGATGGGTAATTTCTAAAATTTCTAAAATTTTTTTTACTCATTATTTCATCGCCTTTCTATTATACATACAAAACCTTTATAAAACTGGAATTGCATAACATTTAGCAAAATACAATCATGTTAAATTTTGTATCATATTATAAGATATCGAGATACATATCTTACAAGTAACTCTCGCTCAACTATATAACTACAAAAAAAATCAGTCAAATATTCTCGTTATTTATAACATTGAAAATTTTGGATAACATCCAAACATCAACATTACCTGTCTTTTCATTAAATATTACAACTTATTCTATACATGGAAAGAATAGATTAGATGATTCAGCAAAGCTATAGATTGTTACGTGAGTTCAACATCCATAGTTAAAAAAGTTTCGTAGTTCAACAAAGCAGTTATGCAGGGTTGGCAATGCAACGCATTATTTGTAACATCGTTATCAGTTACAAGTTACTTTTTTTGGTAACGCTTGAGTAACGACGTTACATTTTCTTCTGAATAACATTCATAATAAACAGTTACAGTTTTGAAGTAATGGTAATGATTTCACTAATTACTTTTATCGTTATTTTATCGTTATTTCTATTTATGTAAAAGTTTTAATTGTAATTAGAGCGTATATACATGTATGTATATATATACAGTCACAAAACTAATTGTCCGGACACAGATAGTGCAAGTTTATTTTTAGGTACAGTATTACCAAATAATATAATTTTTAAAGTATAATAGTATTTATTATAGAAGTGAGAACTCTCGTGACTTTACTTTCATCTCTAATATTAGTCAAAATTATATTTTCAGATACATAATAGATTTAATCAACAAGACTATAAAAATCGCGAAATTAATTGATCGGATAAACAAAAATAACATTCCCATATGCTATTAAAACTCAATATATTATTTAATATTATATTCTCTTCAATATTATTTTTTATTAATTTCACGATTTTTATAGTTTTGTTGATTAAGTCTATATACATGTATCTGAAAATATAATTCTAATATTAGAGATGAAAGTAAATCATTGGAGAGAGTTCTAACTTCTAAATATTATTATTCTTTAAAAAATTATATTGTTTGATAATACTATACCGAAAAATAAACTTACAATATCTGTGTCTGGATAATTAGTTTCATGACTCTCTCTCTGTGTGTGTGTGTGTGTGTGTGTGTGTGTGCGCGCGCGTGTGCGTGTGTGTGTGTGTGTGTGTGTGTGTGTGTGTACATTCATATATACATATATATGTATATTTCAGTTTTTGTTCCTCTACTAAAAAATAGAATTCTAACATCTTTTTTGTAATTACCGCAAAAATCTATATATAATAGCGTTTTTCATTGACAGAATTAATGCGCATTTAGTGCATTTTAAAGCCACTGTATAATCAACGTAAAGATGCTTAATAAAATATAAAAACAAGTCAAACTGCAAAATCCTCAATATATTTTATTATGCTATTTGATAAAATATACTTTATCTAGGTATTATATCATCTCAGATATCTTATTTACATTTAAATTAGAGTTGGCATTTACAACAGTTTTAATGTGCACTAACAATAAATACGCACAATAAAAATACGCTATAATATTCTATTAATATCAAAAAAAAAATAATGACTCGTTACATTTTGAATGACAGTAACGGTAAATTACTTTTACAAATCAATAACGTGTAATGATAACGAGTTATTTTTTAGGAAAAAGAACGGTAACGAATTATTTTTATGAAGTAACATTGCCAACCTTGTAATTATGTTTGTAAGCAATTATTAATATACCAAGTCTAATACTAACTAATTTTTTGCTGCAATGAAAATTGCAACAAGTTTTTTTCATTACAATAGCAAACGTATGCGCCATCTTAGCTAGCATGTTTTGTTAAAAATTTTAATTTACACGTTGAATTAATTTTTGTAGAAAATTATTTTTGCTGTATCAACAAATTTATTATGCCATTACAACAAATATAATTAACTATAATTGCTAATTTTATTCAGCTGTATAAGTGACCACTTCAACATAGAAAACTATTCTCTATTCGTATTATATTACAGTTGGAGATTTGCTGAATCAATAAAGTTTTTAGTTGCTTTAACAAATTTTTTTGTCATAATAAAAAATATTTAATGCTTCATATTTTTTTAATGAGTTCTGAATTTTTATCAGCTCGTTATGTTATAAAAATGACCTCGTTCATCACATATTAAATCAGAAATCTCTTCGATGCGTTCAAATTTTTTTGCAAAAAAAATTTATTTCGTCGTAAATTCACAGAATTTTCAATGCTATGATATACAGAAATTGATACAGAATTTTCAACGCTATGATATACAGAAATTAATAAGAATAAACTTTTGGATTATCATATCAATCGAATGTAATTAAAAATTATATACATAATCACAGTGATAAAATCTATTTATCTCTTTGCTTCGATTTATCGGTCGAATAATTAATTACGCGAGTCTCGTGCAATTTTAAATGTCTTTTCTCGAATGCAATGGTCGACATTCAAGTGTGAAGAACCTTTACAACCGAAAAAAAATGCCCGAAAGTATTACAGTATTCATGATTATAAATACTATAACATCCATATAAATAATATAACATACAATAATATCTTAACATTCCTTGAGAATATTCGACCCAAAGACACATCCATCGTTAACTATATATCTTGAACAACTATTGGGACCACCGACATAAGAATAGGTGAATACCAAGTACAAATATCCAAGTACATTCGTAGATCAGTCAAAGGGATGATATTGCCGATGCAAATCTTTCGATTGACGAGGTCTCGCTGTGATCGATGATAAAAGCGGCATTTTTTAACCTCCGATCAGGAGCCAAGGCAAGAGGATGGTGACGCAAAGCGCTGCTACGCAACTGGACAGCATTGCCAAGGGACTTGCGGCTGTTTCCATTTCCATGTTCTCCGTCACGCCATAATCTTCATCTGGCACGAATTCCCGGATTTCTACGTCACATCGGAAACATACGCGTGCAGTGCTGCTTTTGAAGTGAGATCCATCCTTGCGCAACACCTGCGCTCCCGAACCTTTGCGTTCCAGCTTCCAACCAGGCTCTTGCATCAGCATCATCTTATATTCTCTCGTCAAATTCGAGTATTTCACGATCAGAGAATTACGCTTCGAAACCGCTTTGATTCTCGCTGGATTCGTAAATCGAACTCGAAGATCACAAATTCTCCGATATTCGCAAGACAGAAATACGCTCTCGCGGAGAAGCAGTTGGTTTAATTGGTTTCCGAAGATCTCGTCGCTTCTATGAACAATATCTCCGCCAACACCGTCGTTGTTTACTCGAAGATATACTGTCGATACCTGCAAAGGAAAGTTCTAGCATAAATCGGTGAATTGCGCGCTGCACCATAGGACGATGGCGGTACTTTAATAACATAAAGATCGATCGCACACGATGGTTCAAAGAGGCGATCCTACGTGTCGAAAAGTTTTTATTAAATTATTATATTGTAGAGTTTCTTTTGCTTCTTGTTCGATTACGTGACGGATTTTGAGATTATTGGCTGCTGTTATTAAAGAAGAAGAATCTTTATTATCTTTACGAGAAAAAACAATTCTATTGAAATATATAAAAAGTTAACCAAAAATAGATCTGAAAATAATTTTATTAAACTATCAAAATAATTATGTATAAAACTCAAACTAGTTGCTAAAATATCAAATTTTTCTTCAGTGCTGCTCATTATTATTGCTTGAGCGTTCTACATAATTATTTTAGTAGTCCAACAAAATTATTTTCAGACATTCATTTTGTACAATAAGTTCGTTTAGCTGAATTTTTAAATATTTCAACAAAAATGTTCTTTTCGTGTATTACAAAAGAGGGCTTGGTTCACTTTTTGTCTTAACCTGACACATCCCATCTTTTACACTATTTTTTTAAATCTAATCCCTAATCTCAACGTACTTAAATATTTTCTTGTTATCTTATGTTTCTCTCTTTCTCTCTCTATCTACAATAACTCTTCACACATTTTATATTTCTGCTTGTTTCTCCCTTTTACATCTCTTTTTATTCTACTTATTTCATTCCTATCTGCTGGATATTATTACAAATTTAATTTCGCAATACGCGCGATAATATATTTAACTTAAACAATAATTTATATTATTTCATGTATAATGACAATTATTGGATATTTTATGTATCCTATTTCTTGTTACTTCATGTATTACATGCACTTTTTGTTCAGACATCTGAATGTATATTTGCTGCAGAATTTCTAAACCTCCGCAACCACGACTTATCAAACGTGTCACGTTTTACAAATGCATTACAGTCTCGAGCAAAAAGTTAGAAACCGTTCGTCGGCGACTCATCAGCTTCCTGTTGCCAGGAACGAGTATTAATCGAAGCAACTTCGCGACAGTTTCCGGTAGTGAGATCACGGATAACACGCACTGTTAATGTGGCCTCAGTCGATCGCCACGCTATAAACTTATATATTATATTCATTATATTCGATAACGAGCAACCTCGTAAATATATTAAAAAACGACCGAACAATAAATTCAGTAATAAAAATAAAATATGATAAAATTGCCATAATAATCTCTTTTTATTTTGTATAAGTTTTGTGGAAGCGCCTGTTTTATCCATTCGAGCAATATTAAACATCGTAATTATCTTAAAATAATTAGCGCTTCCATACGAGAGACATAATTTTAAGGAATAAAAACAACATTGTAATAAATTTCTTCCACGGAAGCTAATAGAGATTTGTACAGTATTAACGATTTTTTTATCGTCGAACAAAGACATTATCTTGAGCTTTCCGATACTAATACAATTAATTTAATCCCATCTATTTTACCGGACAAAACACAATGCATTAAACATTTACGCAGCATTGAAGATTAATGCGAATTACAGAGGTGCTTAAACCCTAGATAAATTGTCTGTTTTATTATATAGGTATGCTTTGTTTGTTTTTATATTCAGTTTTCTGCAAAGTTCTGAAATAGTGTCGCACTGCAGGTAATTAAACTGCAATTTACCATGTCGATGATTACAGCTTGTCAAATTAAATCCGCTTGCATGCTAGGCTAAACAGGTCGGGTGACAATGCAGCCTAATTATAGACGGACGACGACTAACACTGACACGAGACATGAAATGTGATTTCGCGATTATGATTATTCAGGTAAATATGCTTGTGCGCTATAGTCTATTATCGTGATCATTGTTCTATTTCTACATTCCAAAAACAAAACCATGTAAATCGCTCTTATTGATCTCAATATGATAACGAAATATGATAACGAATATGAAACAAGAGAAAACGAACTTTCTATAAATACATTTGCTTTTTATGTATTCAGATCATCTGAAGAATCGGTTTTTCAATATCTAATTGTAAGAATAAATTGTAAGAACAAATTGACATTTCGCAGAAATTTTTTTTAAACATTGCATATACGAAAGAATGAATTATCTTCACAGTTTTGACTATTTGAAACTCTTTTACGTTTCACAATAAAAATTCTTTTTAAAACAATCCACGGCGTAAAATATTTTTTAATACAAAAATGTAGTGCTAATAAATTAATAAATTTTTTTTATATCCCTTATAATTATTTATTAATATTTATTATGAAAAAGATTAAATATAAACTAGTTTTATAAAGTTGAAAAATTTTTTTCAAATTCTGTATCTTTCGTTATTATCCAAACTTATACTTCAGCAATTAACAAACATCATGTCATTGCGTATAATTCATGTATAAATTATAAACTACAAGATAAATGTATATTAATTATAAACTATAAATTCAAAGTGAATTGCATGCAACTTTATGAATAATATGATATGCATTATGGCATAATGAGACAGTTATTACAATATTTAATACTCTTGCATCATTTTGGGAAAGTTACGTCGCAAATATCGTTCAGCTCATCAAGTTTAATTTTTGCGCCTAGTAAAACTTTTAATTGTTTAGATTGGATAGAAATAACTGATGGCTGAAAATAATATATCCAAGCAGATTTCATTATCGCCATAAGTTTTTTAATTTTCTTAGGGGAAGAGATAATAGAAAATAAAAAAATTGAAAATCAAGTGCTGCAAAGTAAAACTTACAACTTATTTTTCTTGAAATTAGTAAAACAAAGGTAATAGGATTTCTTCTTACACTCGATCTTCTTCTATTTTATTTTGCCGCAAGAATAATAATCACTTGATTGTTGACTTTGTTTTCATTCGAAAAAAAGATTACAATGCAAAAATTATCGTATAAAGTCAGTTTTTTTTTCTTATAATATTTCTTTAATCTAAAAAATTAATACTTTATAATGTTTTTGAAAAAAATAAAAAAACATGTTTTTATCCCTTTTTATTAATGAGTCCTCCGGCGATGGCCTTATTAATGTGTCCCCATTTGTGTGTCTATCCACATTTGACTCATTTAAAATGAGTCAAATGTGGATAGACACACAAATTGGGGACACATTATAGTTACTAAAACAGGTGATAAATTTAAGCTAATTGTTTAAGTTAATATATTACATAAATCATTATTTCAATTATATTTATTTCAATGTAGACTTATAACACAACGTTCTCAATTCCAATACAAGGCACATTAATAGAGACAAGCTTAAAATCTTGCGGTACGTATTACTAGATTTATATAAATTCCTCATATGTTTTAAAAAATATTTAAAATACTTTAATATTCAAAAAATAAAATATTATCTTCTGTATCGTATGCATTAATAATTTAACTTAACAAGAAAAAATATTTTTTCTTATTTATTCGTGCTAGTTTTCTTTATGACTTATCGAAATACAAAAACACATTAATAGGAACAGGCACAATTGGGACAGTTACCCTATATTAGTTTAACGAGATTACACACAGAAAAATATTCTATTATTAAGAAAAGTGATCACTCAATTAACTTTCTTTCTATTAATAGTTATCCTTAACCAAAAATATATTCTTGATAATAATCTTATAAGAATAAGTCTTAAAATATACTTATTATAAATGTGTGAAAGTCTCTCTTAATAGATATATATAGGTATCAAAATAAGAATTTATTTCTTTTGAAAATTATTATCAAATTGATCAAAAAATAATTTTATATAATAAGCAAATCAATTTGTTTTAATTTAATGATCTTGATTAAAGTATTAAATTTATTAGGATTTTGAATATACTTTGAATAAATTTAATATTTGTAATGAACTTGTGATAAATTTGGAGATATATGAATTTTTAAAATATGTAATTATTATTTGCATAAAGTACGTATTTTTCTGTATGTAGTAATCAAAGACTTAATTTTAATTTGAAGGAAACGACAATTATTAATTTTTTATCGATTCACTATTCTATATCTACTAAATGTAGTTATACATAAGATAAAAGATACAAAGTAATTATTAAAGCCATTAGAAAAAATACAGCTAGGAAAAGTAAACAAATTCCCATGAGTAATAAGAAATCTTTGTACAAAGGATTATTTATTAGAAATATTTTTTATTGTACGTAAAATATGAAACTAGAATTTTAGATATATTCTTCTCGAAACTTCATTTTGGATTATGGATTATTTTCTCAATTCAATCGTTGAAAACTATTTTGTTTTACATGAACATATTAGGTGTACAACTTTGCTTCCGCCGTTTTTTTCCGAAATTCGAGGCTTTATTGTAAAAAACTGGTTATACATTTATGATTCAAAGTATTGTCCATCGCTGGCTACTACTTTCTCCCATCTTTCGGGTAGCGTACGAATCCCGCGTCGAAAAAACTGGTCATCTTTTGAGGCTATCCACGAATCGATCCAATTTTTTACTTCTTCATAAGACTGGAAGTGCTGGTCAGCCAGGCAGTGTGCCATTGATCGAAACAAGTGATAATCAAAGGGAGCAATGTCTGGAGAATACAGCGGGTGAGGTAGGACTTCCCATTTCAACGTTTCCAAGTATGTCTTGACCACTTTCGCAACATGGGGTCGAGCATTGTCATGCTGCAAAATCACTTTATCGTGTCTCTCGTTGTATTGCGGCCGTTTGTCTTTCAATGCTCGGCTCAAACGCATCAATTGCGTTCGATACCAATCGCCTGTGATTGTTTCAGTCGGTTTTAACAGTTCATAATACACTACGCCGAGCTGGTCCCACCAAATACAGAGCATGACCTTGGACGTCAAAATCACCGTTTTTGAAGCGTTGAAACCACTCACGACACGTTCTTTCACTAATAGCGGCCTCACCATAAGTATTTGAGAGCATTCGATGAGCCTCAGCCGCAGATTTCTTCATATTGAAGCAAAAAATTAAAACCTC